TCTGCTTGATGCTTTTTTCATAAAGGTAAACTTACCTCTCATCCTCATCCTCACCTTCACCCTCACCCTCACCCTAGGCTGAAGCTTTGACACCCCTTTAGCTGAACCAGCCTAGTGAGCCTGGGGGCTGCCCCTGTGTCCTTGCTGTAACCCCCAGATCCAGAGCCACAAATAGTCTGGAAATTACATAAAGTCAGGGCGTGTGCCATTTCCCTGTGCTTATATTACAGCAACCGGGGCTGAGTGAGCCACTGAAATGTGGCTCTTCACCCTACTCAGCTTTTCTGTGTCTTAGAACAGATTCTCCGAAAAAGAGGCTCCCTTAGATGTAGGTTTCCCCAACCCTCCCCCCCCCCGACTTCTGCATCCTCTAAAGAAAGACATGTATTGCCATAATTCTTTTTTGAGCACTTACTGTGTATAGGCACTGGGCTAACTCTCTAAGGCAAAAAAAAAAAAGAAAGAAAAGAAAGGGGCCATATAGTCCCCTGAAAATGTCTAAAATCTTATCATATTTTGGGAAAAGTGATGAATTGTTGGGTTATTTTCTATATTGGAGTGTTCTCCTCTCCATTCAGTAGTCTCATCCAGGAGGAAACTCTACCATCCACTCTGTGGCTGTTAAACTTGAACTTGAAGTAGACTCATCACTGTATTTTCATAAGCATCTTAGATTATGAAATTGTCTTGCAGCCTCCTTTATGTCTACCCCACCCTGCCGGGACGTCATTATTGAAATAGAAGACACCAAACCATTACTGGCTTCGAAGGTAGGCTTCAGAACTGGCCATTGAATAACGTCAGTTTTATCTTCCAGGTATCTAAGCGTTGGTGAATTTAGTCAAACAAGCACTCAATGCAATTAAAATAATAACGATCAACTTTCCAAGGTAAAGAATCTGAATCATGCACTCATCAAAAGTTATAGTGATGCTGTGTGGATTAATGTCCTCTACCCTCAGTCACCCCAGATACTTAAATATCTCCAGGCCCCACCCTCCAAGAGGAACCGAGACATCAGTATATTTTATTGTATTGTATTTTTAAAATATTTTTATTGATTTCAGAGAGGAAGGGAAAAGGAGAGAGAGAGACAGAAACATCAATGATGAGAAAGAATCATCAATCAGCTGCCTCCTACACACCCCCTACTGGGGATCAAGGCTGCAACCCGGGCATGTGCCCTGAATGGAGTCAAACTGTGACCTCATAGGTTGATGCTCAACCACTGAGCCACACCAGCTGGGCAAGACATCAGTATATTTTAAAATCTCCCCAAGTGATTCTCATTTGCAGGCAGGTCTGAGAACCATTGATGTGGGCAGTCTGAGGGATATCATCTGCTAGCAAAAGAAATTTCAAGTGCAAATTTATAGCATTACCACATTGGGAAGATGGATGCATGTAGCACACCATTTTTTTCCCCTACATGAAGCAGAAGGGTCATGGATTTTTAATGGCCCTATTTGTCAGTGTATGGGATATCCCCGATTCTTATATTCACTGTGGTTTTGAAGTCAAGAAATTGATGGAAATGCTCACTCCGGATCCTATTTTAAAACCATTCAGCCAATTGTATGAGGGGGGAGGGGTGAAGCGGTGCAAGGTCTTAGCCCACAGAAAAGAAAACATCAAATATCTCCCTGTTTCTGTTGGCATGTAGGATGGGCTTTCACAGCATGTTTTAAGGTGCAAACTGGCCAAAAAATGCACATGATTGCATTTTAATGTGTTATGTCCATAAACAGTGCCTTAAAAAAAGGCCACTTCCTTCCCACTGCATTAAACTCACCCATTGGACCGTGTTAAATGTGGTCTCCACAGCCAGCACTGTGTAGCAGTGTGTTAGGTTCTATTCCCTGAGATTCCTCCACCATCGCAGATGACAGTATCAAATCTGCAAAACTATTGGGTTCCCTTTGTAAACTACCCCAAACATTCCCCATAAAACAGTAGTGGCCTAGGGAGAAGTTAAGTATGATACACTTAAGATCCTTTATGAACATTTTTACGACACTCTGGAAAAAAGGAGTTTAAGATCCTGCTCTATAATCTGCCTCCAGCCTTTTAACCTCCCATCGTCAATCAGTTCTTATTTGTGCCCACTGTGTACTCAGTAGGCCTAGGTATGGGGGAGGGAGGGTCAAGAAGAAGAAGAAGAAAGCCAATCTGTGCCACTATTCTCATTCGTTTCTTAAAAATAGTTAACAGATGACTGGGTTACTGTAGCAACACACTGTGAAAGTTCAGTTTACATCATAGCATTTAAATGACAACCTAGCCTTTGGGGGATGGTAGCAGCAATCATCGGTGGGTACTATCCCACTGTGTTGTAAGTGCCTTTGATCAGCTTGCTTTCCTAACACCCAGTTGAGGTACCCTGTGTTGATAAGAAAGACTGGTTGGAATCTCCTCTAAAAAACTGCCTTTACCGGTTCATCAGGGAAGCCCATGCATATCTATGCAGTCTGATGAGTAAAGTTGAGCTTTGGAAGAGCCAGTAATAAGCTTGCTGATGTCCTCCATGACATGTACATGTAGCCTTGCACATGCATACATGTACTATACATGCATGCATGATAGGCATGACTTACATGTACATGCGATGAGCGTGTAATGTAACATCTACCACTAACCCAATTCAAGCCTTTTATATGGGTCAATCCAGGGGGTGGGTCAAAACTAACTGTGCCCTTGACGGGAGCTGGAGGCTGTGGCTCTGGGTGACAGTCTCACCCTCACAGAGACCCAAACCCTGTGATTGACTATAGGAGCTCTGAACCAATGGGCTCAGCACTATCACAAGAAAAGTGAGAAGTCTGCAGGGCAAAGTGGTAAGTGCTAGCCAGATAACATGGATGTTGCTACATGGCCTCTCAACAATTGCCTTCCAATTCCAGTGCTTAAGCAGTATGTCAACAGCACTCGGCAAAATGGTTTCTCCAACGACAGTGCATGTATGTATGATAAGAAAATGCATGAGGCTGCCTGGGGCTGCGGGGGCTCCGTCTAAAGTCCTGAATTCTCCTTTTGGATTCTTTCTATTAGTAGATTTTGGAGTGAAAGGCGATCTTTAAGCAAATGCGATTGTCCTAAGCCAAAGGGGAGAATCTTCCGTTTGGATGTGATAAAGGAAGTGGTTTGTTTCAGTTCCTTTTCCGTATGAACTGATGAGCCAGCGGCATGAATAAATTCTCCCACGTTAACCCTCCATTTTAAAATCAGCAGCTTGTTTTGAATAATGCCTTTTCAATCATGAACTGTTCTTTGAAATGATTTCGAGAAGCACAAAATAGAAGTGAATAAACAAACTCTGAAAATCTGAATTCACGAACTGTTCAGAAAGTAAAAGCACTTTTGGCATAAAAATCTCCCTCCAAAATCTCAATACGGCTGTGACAATTTAACCTTTAACCCCGCTTTGGTTTGAATCTAATAGAAAGAAGTGTTACCTCTGTCTACCTGCCTCTCTGCCACTCTTGGCAATTCTGTGTGCTGAACCAAGTCAGCCGGAAGAAGCGCTGTGGCCACCTACGCAGCAGCTGCAGGGAGCGCCTGTTGGGAGGGGCTGCTCTCTCCTCACATTAGAGGTGAACTTGAAGTTAGGATTTCAGAGAGAGGGTCTGGGTAAGAATCCTTCCAACTGCCCCCAAGGGCAAGTTGCAGCAGGTGCCAAGTGAAAACTGAAGCCCCAACATCCTACCTCCCTGTTCTCTCATCTCCTGGATGTGCTCCGAGATCAGGGTTGGGTTCTCCATGCAGAAACTCAAAAGGAAGGATTGGGCCCATGAGAGACTTGACATTTAGAGTAATCTTGACGAATGAATATGTATTTGGTGCTATAATATAGGTGCGGGGGAAAACCAAGAAAAAGTGCCCACAGGATGATATTGGGGTCCTGCTAGACATGAATGCCTTGTGAAAG